ATGTTGTTAGTTATCAGAAAATATTGTACGAGTCTAGGATAATATACAATTATTGATTAGGTGTCTCGTGAGCCACGAGTTCAACCGTTAAACTTAACTATTTCCCAAAATCATGTTATGCATACTGCATACAATATACATACGTAAGATGTATAGTATACTTTTAACAAAAAAAAAGATGTATAGTATACACATAGTGTGTAGACAGTGTAGCACTACAACAATATAAAAGAGATACACTCATATTATAAATGAGGTGTCGATAATACTGACGTGGCGATAACTTATTCACAAGCATGATTGAAATTATATATATAGATAAAAGATCATAAGGATGATCGAATCAACCGTTAATTCTATATTATATGTTATTATTCCAATTTATTTAATTTCTACCTCCACTTTTCATGGGGCTTTAATTGTGTCATCGATGACTCTAATCTAACGAGACAAAAAAAAATCCCACTTAGACTTATTTTTTTATAGGTGAGGCTATATATAACTAATTTAAATAACTTCTTAGCGGCTTTTATATTGTAGTAGGATTTGGTGGATAAGGCCATCTCCTTCGTAATGTAAAATTTTATAATATCATACACTCCTATTAAGTTATTAATTAACCCCTGATCATATCACGGGTACTAGTTAATTAGTTTTTTTTTGTTAAATGATTTTCATACTTAATTAGTTAGGCATGATGCTATTGGTCGTCAAGGAAACATATATACAGTTCATTCATAAATTCATAATTACTCATGGTGTTGATACAGATTCTCATAAATATGGCAAATACATTTTCCAGTTTAAATCAAAATGAAATATAATTTCGTTATAAGTGATTATATATTGAACATTACTCAATTGCATTTACTCTCTCTGGTAGGACAATATACAGAAGGATTGATGGAAATTAAAGAATAACATAAGTACATGGCTAATGATAGTTTGTCGAATATTATATTCGATAAGTATCTATTAGTATACAGTAGTACGTGATACTGATCCCCATATGCATGATGATACTGATGTCTATTTGTTCCCGGGCCGGAGAATGCATACTTAAGTTTCTTATAAAATTATCTTAGGTTTAATTTCTTATTGGCTGGTGGTGCGACTCAATTCATCTTCACTACACATAGTCAGCAATTATCTGTTTTTTTTTTTCTTTCTAATTATAGTAAAAGAAAACTGTTACGTTTCTTTCTGCATGCATGACTGCATGAATCTCAACTTAACTCATTCTAGTTTAATGGTTGAGAATTTACTCAGTCAGTTATGAATTATGATTCATAGGTAGCCACTTGTGAACGCTTTATATGGTAAAAAGGGGTCTTGTTTTTCAAAATTTCCGAAGACTGGCCTAGATTGCAACTTCAGTTTTTTTTTTTTTTTTTTTTTTTTTTTTTCCCCGATTTGACAGCATGAATCTTATATCATAATTTCAAAGTTTTTACATTTAACTACTCCTATAATTATACATTGATATATTTTATGTAAATAAATATGTATTCCTTTTCTCAATTTTGAAAGTCATGTTTCCTTTGGCCGTTGCAAAACTTTATACATGCAAATTTATGTTTTTTCTTACATATTTAATTGTTAGACAAGCATATTCCACTAAAACTGAAGCGCAATATGTATATTTCAAATGATAATTTAAATTATTGAATATTTCAAAAATTTTTAACCGGAATTCGTAATCTAATAAATTATACTAACTATTGTGATACTATAATTTGAGCTCAGATATGGAAATAGCGTGTATGAATTGTATAAACATAAGAATACAGAAGTCTTCAGTTAGAAAAGATCTTGCAGAGATTTAGGATGCGTGGAGAATTGTTTATAGAACATAAGATCATGTGAAGTCCAAAAGGGTTTATCTCAAAACCGAGTTGTCGAAGAAACGTGTCTTGCCCATTAGATCGATTTTCAGAACATAATTATATATAAGTGGTTGCCAAAAAAGAATATATATAAGTGAAGATGAATTAAAATTTTATGCCTAACTTTGACGGTTAAAGATAACTAATAACTAACTAATCTTATAAATAGTGGCATTGTTCTAAGATCTGAATATGATTCGTTTCCTTCGAGTAATACTTTTCTTATATCATATTATGTTGGACTCGATATGAGATAAGAAAAGTAATACTTGAAGAAAACGAATCATATTTTGAGTTTTCTTATACTTTTCTCATCTAGACTTCATCCATCAATATAATATATACTGTTCTAGACCAAGTGCATGAATTAAACCTCAAATTATTATAAATGAATTTTGAGTTAGAAAACAATAAACAGTTTAGCATATATAATAACTTTTTTTTTTTTTTTTGCATATATAATAACTTGATTTATCGATGGAAAACTATAAAACTTTTTGGATGAATTCTCGTAACAGGTCAACGTTAGATTCAACTGTAAATTCAGAAGTGAATTCTTAACTACTAAACCATTATATATTAGTTATAAATTTTAAAATGTATTCAGTCGTAAGCGATTTACGAATACGTGTTCAAATATTTATTCAAAGAAAATGTATAATCGACTTCTAGTTAAAAAAGTTAGATGTTACGGTGAAAAGGAATGAAACGAGATTGTATTTTTTAAACAAATTTTAAAACGAAAAAGAAGAAATGGTATGAAAAAAAGGCGAAGATAAAAAGAGAAAAATAATAAAGCAAGCGTGATGGAGAGAAGAAATGAAAAGGAGAAGGAGGCCACGTGTTACATGGGACAACTCGGTTATGAGGCATATACGCGGGCTATCTCTAAAACGTGTCCTCTTCACTAACGACGTACCAAACCAATTTGATTTCACTTCTCTAACCAAAACAAAAAGAAAAAAGAAAGAGAGAAATAAAGATTGACGACACAATGGTCCAATCGGAGATAGTGAGACACTATAGACCCAAATGTCCTTTTATTCATCTTTCTACGTGTTATTTTCTTCACATATTATCAATTTTCTAAGTTCTTATTTTTCTCTTAAAATGTCCAAATACATCTAATTTTATAATGCACTATTTGGTTGTTACACGAGGCCATATTATGATTAGACAAAGTTGGTTTGGTGTAGCGATTCTTCCTTTCGATTTCTATATGCTTCTTTTCAATTAAACTATTAGGCGGAGTTTCTAGAAAATTTAATACGTGAAGTTTGATTCTTCGTTAAAATACTCCTACGCGAAGTTTGTTTCGTTAATTATTATATGTGTCGACATACATATAATACCCAAAAATTCAAGACTCTTCTGAGCCTAGTCTTCTTATGAATAATTAACGACTCGCATCGTTTTATATAATAGAGTTAAACAAGCAAGTAATTAAGTTTTAAGTAACTCAGAATTCATATTGGAGGTTCTAGACTGTGATTATAAATTATTACAAAATGAATATATATATTGCTTATACATTTCAAGGCATCATATATCATAAATCTAGATCTTCAAATGGTGACATGAAAAAAAAATTGTATATAACTAAACGTCACGGTGATTTTAAAAATACTTCAATTAAAATTTTGTTGCCATCAAGTATTTACGTAAATTTATTTAAACCTAAATGCAAGGATGATGACAGAAGAAAAACATGAATGTAAGAATCCCTGTGGAGTGTTGAAGTGGTCGAACATCTCTAAAGATCTCGTCAACTAAAATCTAAGTGAAAAAAAAAAAAAAAACATTATCACTTCAGACTATTCAAAGTTAATACTTTGGAGAGCAAGTTATATGATGTAACACACTTTTGAAAAATTGCGTCTGTTCAATGAACGATACTGTTTTCATATATATAAGTTTGAATGTTGGCTAACTGGTCACGTAGTGGTCGTTTGACCTAGGATCTCTTCTACTTGTTTACATATTTTGCCGTTTTCTCGTTGTAAATGAGCAAGAGAACAAAGAGAGATGTGGTTCAAAAATTTGAACGTAATAACGAAAAATGAACATAACTAGCATTGAAAATGAAATTAAATACTCTAAAGTAATTATGCATGTCACGTTTTATCTTATACTTGATTCGTTTTTCTCGAGGATAGGATTTGAGATCCAAATCTTAACATAATGAGATTACGAAGTCTTTATGTGCTCGTGTCCGTACAAATAAGAAATGTCTACACCCACAAGGAATAACGGTCGGAGACTTAAATTATCCATAACCAGGATCAATTGTACGGACAAATCTCTTGACTCATTCAATAGGACAAGCAAAATAACATTTTCACACTACTAGACCATATCATACTTACATATAATGCAAAGTCTTAAGATACTTTGAACTTCGTATTTCATGTGGAGATGAATAGGCTAAGTTGGTGTTCTCAAACGACAAGCTAGCTCTTGTGAGCCACGACATAAGCCAAGTTGATGATTGTAATTAATGAAACATCATATTGCCCCAATAAATGTTTATAAATATCTTTTGTTATATAAACGTACTCTAACTAGAATTTATTTGCTGATGGACAAACTGTGCCCTACAATGCCTTGCACCACCGATCTTTTGGAGGATACATTTACTACATTAGAGGTTTTGACGACCGATGTATCTTCAAGTTGCCGAAGATTGATAGCTTTTGTTAACAAACTTAGAAACAGGAGAAGCCACAAAAAATGAAACCAAGAGAGAGTTGGAGATTGAAGTGGATGCATTTGTCTATATAGGTGTGAAAGGTCTCAACTTTGAACCATAAACATATTACTCTGTTTTTTTCTGTTTATTCCCAAATTACCCTTTTCTCTTAATACCCACTCACTACTCCATTCCTCTCTCTCTGGCACTGATTCAACACGTGGCCACCCAGATGGGACCCACCATTTCCCTTACCCACCTCCCGGTTTATATAAACCCTTCACACACTTCATCGCTCTACAAACCAACTCTCTCTTCTCTTCTCTTCTCCACTTGAACAATAAAGCAACTAAAAAACAGAGCTTTACAAATCTCAATATCGAACTCACTTTAAGCACCAGATACTGATCGCTAATACTTAAAAAATGGCTTCTTTTACGGCAACGGCGGCGGTTTCTCGGAGATGGGTTGGCGGCAATCATCCTCAGCCGCCATTATCGTCTTCTCAAAGCTCCGACTTGAGTTATTGTTGCTCCGTACCCATGACAAGTCGTGTCCAAAGAAAGCTGAATGTTTCTTCTGCGCTTCACACTCCTCCTGCTCTCCATTTCCCTAAGCAATCCTCCAACTCTCCCGCCATTGTTGTTAATCCCAGAGCCAAAGAATCCGACACTAAACAGATGAATTTCTTCCAGAGAGCGGCGGCGGCGGCGTTGAACGCGGCGGAGGGTCTCCTCGTTAGCCACGAGCGACAGCATCCGCTTCCTAAAACGGCTGATCCTAGTGTTCAGATCGGCGGGAACTTTGCTCCGGTGAATGAACAGCCCGTCCGGCGTAATCTTCCGGTGGTCGGGAAAATACCGGATTCCATCAAAGGAGTATACGTGCGCAACGGAGCTAATCCGCTTCACGAGCCGGTGACCGGTCACCACTTCTTCGACGGAGACGGGATGGTTCACGCCGTCAAATTCGAGGACGGTTCGGCTAGCTACGCTTGCCGGTTTACTCAGACAAACCGGTTTGTCCAGGAGCGTCAATTGGGTCGACCGGTTTTTCCAAAAGCCATCGGCGAGCTTCATGGTCACACCGGTATTGCTCGACTCATGCTATTCTACGCCAGAGCTGCAGCCGGTATAGTGGACCCGGCACACGGAACCGGAGTAGCTAACGCCGGTTTGGTCTATTTTAACGGCCGGTTATTGGCGATGTCGGAGGACGATTTGCCTTACCAAGTGCGGATCACTCCCGGTGGAGACTTGAAAACCGTTGGCCGGTTCGATTTCGACGGGCAATTGGAATCCACAATGATCGCCCACCCGAAAGTCGACCCGGAATCAGGCGAGCTTTTCGCTCTGAGCTATGACGTCGTTTCAAAGCCTTACCTGAAGTATTTCCGATTCTCACCGGACGGAACGAAATCTCCGGACGTCGAGATCCAGCTTGATCAGCCGACGATGATGCACGATTTCGCGATAACGGAGAAATTCGTGGTGATACCGGACCAGCAAGTCGTTTTCAAGCTCCCGGAGATGATCCGAGGCGGCTCTCCGGTGGTCTACGACAAGGACAAGGTGGCGAGATTCGGAATTCTCGACAAATACGCCGAGGATTCGTCGAAAATACGGTGGATTGAAGCGCCGGACTGCTTCTGCTTCCATCTCTGGAACGCGTGGGAGGAGCCGGAAACAGAGGAAATCGTGGTGATCGGGTCGTGTATGACTCCACCGGACTCAATTTTCAACGAGTCCGACGAGAATCTCAAGAGCGTTCTCTCTGAAATCCGCCTGAATCTCAAAACCGGCGAATCCACTCGCCGTCCAATCATCTCCGACGGAGAACAACAAGTCAACCTCGAAGCAGGGATGGTCAACCGGAACATGCTCGGCCGCAAAACCAAATTCGCTTACTTGGCTTTAGCCGAGCCGTGGCCTAAAGTGTCCGGATTCGCCAAAGTTGATCTCGCTACCGGAGAAGTCAAGAAACATCTCTACGGAGATAACCGTTACGGCGGAGAGCCTCTGTTTCTCCCTGGAGACAATGGAGGAGAAGACGAAGGACACATCCTCTGTTTCGTTCACGACGAGAAGACGTGGAAATCGGAGTTGCAGATAGTTAACGCCGTTAGCTTGGAGGTCGAAGCAACGGTTAAACTTCCGTCAAGGGTTCCGTACGGATTTCACGGCACATTCATCGGCGCCAGTGACTTGGCGAAGCAGATGTGAAGTGTTATGTGTATATAAACACGAATACATATATACGTGATGATGAAGAAGCTTCTAGAAGAAATGTGAGAGAGGGATTTACCAGTGGGATGCTCTGCATATACGTCCCCGGAATCTTCTCCTCGTTGGTTTTTTTTTTTGTTTGTGGATTTTGCTCTGTTTTTTTTTTTTCTTGGGGGTGTGGTTTGCTAGTTCCCTATTTTTTTGGGGTAAATCTAGAAATCTGAAAGATTTTGAGGGACCAGTTTGTAGCTTTTGGGCTGTAGGGTAGCCTAGCCGTTCGAGCTCAGCTGGTTTCTGTTATTCTTTCACTTATTGTTGTTCATAATGAGAAGTATATAAATATATATATTAAAGACAAATATATGTTTATATATCGGTCCTCTCTCTTTAAGGGTGTAAATGGTATGCACTAGAGTAACTTAGAGTAAATAGAAGGAGAGCAACTGAGAGGGATATAAATCAGAGTAAAAGTGTGGAAAAGAAAAAAATATGTTTACTCCAAGAAAAACTAGAGTAACAAATAGAGGCATATCTAGCGTTATTGGGTGGGAAACTTATTCTTCCATTTTCAACTTGAATGGTTAAAAAATAGAGTAAGTGAGAGTAAAAAGTATTTCCCACCTAATGTTTTACTCTAACATGAGCATCCATTCACACCCTAAGTCTATATACATACTAGCGTAAAGTGAGCAACATTATATTCGATTTTTAAATTCTCTTTCAAGCTATGATTTTAATTTCCACCCATTTTTTTTTTACTTTTTTTTATCTAATAATTTTTCATTAGAACATTGAAATTGATACAAAGCAGACAACAATAAACTGGAAAAACTAAGCCGGCGGAAGATAAGAATTCCCCGGAATCTAAGCCCAAAAGAGAGACTTTTTAAATTACAGAAACTGAAAGATCTAAAAACACTAAGGATCCTTTTTTTACTTATGGAAACGTTTTTCTGGTTTGTGCCATCATCAGGTGATTTTTATTAGTTAAAAACCTATTTTTTCAATGATTCTATAATTTTAAATAATGGACCAATGAGAGAAAGACAAGACTCAAGTAAACTTTTGGACTTTATAACAAAAGTTAATAACCAAATCACACGGCGTATAAATTTAGTTAGTCAATTTCAGTCAATTTCGAAATAGAAACCAACGAGTGTAGTTAACCCACGTCGAAAAAGAGTGTGTAATTTGAATATGACTTGCTGTTATTTTAACCCATTTGAAGATTAAAGGACATTTAGTAACCGGTCGTTATCATCAAACATACAGTACATCAAAAACATTTTGTTATTTTGGTCAGCAGAACCGTAAACATTGGATATGTGAGTGGTGGGCGGTAACACAGTGGAGAGACCAATCAAAACTAGTGGACTTGTGACGAACTTAACGGCATTATTATCATTCTTATAAAATAAGTAATAACGCATTTGTTACTTTTTCAGTTTTCTTAATATATTTCAAATATTTTTAAAATGTATAACACTTATTCTGATAGGGTGATCTTTGATCGTTCAATATATAAACAAATAAAGCAAAGTCAACTGTCCGAAAGAGTGTTTCGGTGTATTGAGAATCTGAGATTATGACATTTCCAAAGTAATTGGGTTGCAATGATATTTTACACTTGTCATAATTTATCAACTTAAATTTGGAAAGACCAACCTTAGGTTGCTTGCATTGGTTTAAAATCTTTGAAGTTTTACGTACACGTTAATTTCTGTATTGATCTATAGACTATACCTAGATAAATTGTTATTTTCTGAATTTAGCGGGTTGCAAAATGTTAACGCTATACTAATTTAAGAACAACATCGCATATACAGAACAACCTTTCTATTAGTTTTACACGTTTTTATAAAATATAAGGGTGGTTGAAATTTTGTAGTAAATACAGAGAACAATAATCTTAGAGGCCTAAATAAAAAAGATGAAGTTTTTTTTATTAAACCCGGGTTTCCCGGGTTGGGTTACCAATCTTGACGTTTATTTTGTACTAACATTTAACGTCGTCTCTATGGTGGTAAAAAAAAAACATTTAACGTCTGAATGGAGCAAAAAGGAAACTATTGGTATAATATGTATATGTATGTATATGTTGGATGAGAGGAAATATTTAATTGCGTAATAATCATGTGCAAAAGAAGCACAATATGAATATTTCATTTGTTAATGGGGGATCAAAAGCACATTAGTTCACTTTCACATTTACATGAAAATATCTCCGACACCAAAAAGTGTTAAAACAGAGATCATACATGGTTGAAATAAAAATGTCAAAAAGTAATATTAATATTTGGCCAACTTGGAGATATTTCCGTATGGTGGACTCTTAATTTGTTTGTGTGTTCATGTTCTCTTCCAATATTGTAGAAACCCACTAATTATAATTAATTTCATGTTGGAATATGATTATAGTGTATATATATCACTGTTTAGGTCTTAGAGTCTTCACGTAATTAAAATGATGTTATAATGTTGTTGTAAAATAAAATATCTTTTTTTAACAAGGGTTTAAATCAAATATCTTCAAAAAGATAAAAATACCATTAATTATGTAGGACAAAAAAAAAATTGTCGCATAGATAAAACTTAAAAGATGCATATTAATATGAAGTACTTATTATCGTAAAATAAACAAGAATAACTTGTTTTCCGAGCATATTGATCTACATTTTCATAAGTATTATGGAAACTTCATGCTATGATTCGATTTTTTAGTTTTTCTTTTCTTCTAAAAATATTTGAATTTGTTTTTGTAGAGATCATACATGATTGAAATAAAAATGTCAAAAAGTAATATTAATATTTGGCCAACTTGGAGATATTTCCGTATGGTGGACTCTTAATTTGTTTGTGTGTTCATGTTCTCTTCCAATATTGTACAAACCCACTAATTATAATTAATTTTCATGCTAGAATATGATTATAGTGTATATATATCACTGTTTAGATCTTAGAGTCTTCACGTAAAATGATGATATAATGTTGTTTTAAAATAAAATATCTTATTTTTGTAACAAGGGTTTAAATCAAATATCTTCAAAAAGAATGAGTCCACTTTGTAGGTGCGTTCCTACCAGGGCTAACCGAAGCCGATATGGTCTATAAAAAAAATATGTTAAAAAATATAAAAATACCATTAATTATGTAGGACAAAAAAAAATTGTCGCATAGATAAAACTTAAAAAGATGCATATTAATATGGAGTACTTATTATTGTAAAATAAACAAAAATAACTTGTTTTCCGAGCATATTGATCTACATTTTCATAAATATTATGGAAACTTCAAGCATTTTTTGGTTTTTCTTTTCTTCTAAAAATATTTGAATTTGTTTTTGTCGGTTTTGCATTTGTGTTTGTTATTCACCCATAAGTGTATATACTCTTTGTTTGTTCCCCTGTTCTAGAGTATCATACCCGGCCGGCCTTATGTAAATTTTAAAAGTCGTAAGTAATAATATATATCTTAAGAATTTGAAATATTTTTTTTTATGTAAAAGAAGAATTTGTAATATTTTTTTTTTATTATATTATTATAATAACCCAAACCAGGTATTGGAGCTGGTTACATAAGATTGTACCGAAGATAATAGAACCGAACCGAAATTGAAGAATTTGTAATATTGAAAGAGAACAAATCAAATAACAGTTGTGAAAGTTCATTGGATGCAAAACTTAAATCAAGTTTCGCACAAAAATAAATCAAGTAAAAGGTTTTCTAAATCTTTTATGAAAAAGAAGAGAGTAAAAGGTTTATTGGATACGGCAAAATTATACGGTGGGTTGCATCTTGCATGGGCATTTTATAATGCTTAGACAGTTAGTTTCGGGTTTCGGCCGTCCACGTTTCAGTATTTCCAATAATATACAAAAATATACTATATATTTGAAGGAATCTGTTGATGCCAACAGTTAGATGTGCACTATTTACCCAACCAAAGTAGAAGGTGACTTTTCTCCCAACTAGTTCAAGCCTAACTACTTTCCTTTAGTGGAAGGTTGGCACTTATGCTTTCCATGTATAATTGGCAGTTACTAACTTACTCTTACGGTCTTACCCTATGTAGACCGCGAAATCCGGTATTGTGATTCGCAGAACTATCTGTTAACATGTGATATTTTTATTTTGTCTCTTCTATCTAAAAATATTATACAAACGCTTAGAAAATACAGAAAACAGGCATGCATATGCGGTTGGTATTGTAAGGTTCTATATAGCAAATACGTGATTTAATATTATTCCCATAACTGGAGAGTTTGGTGACATTTTTGTCGACACTTAGTAAATCTTTGTATCCATCCCAGTATGGCGACGCAGACCGTCTTAGTTCTTATATATATCTAATTTTCAAGCGAATAGTTAGAACATAAATTTACGATTATGCTTGCACGTTGTATGATAGAAAAAGAAAATGCACAGAGTCGATCGCAAAACTAATGTACCATTTTATCATTTTGTACCGATCGATTATCAATTATAGCATTTTAGCTGTGTCATTATTAACATAGCTAGCTAAAGACAATGTTCTGAGTCTATAAGGAGTAGAGGCCATGGTTTTTTTTTTTGCTAAATTGTAAATATTCATTATAAAATGAAAAGGTTTGGTTTACAGATTGTGTTAACAAAATGATAACCTTACAAATGGTCCCATGGCAAAAAAAGTGAAAAACATGGAAGCATAAAGACAATCAGTACTTTGTGTAGGCCTTTGCAATGAAGCTAAAGGCAACAAAGTAGCGATAATGTGCTTGTAGAGGCCATGGTTTATAGACGTACTTAGCATATGGAGGCCATAAAATTTTAAAATTGTATATCTCTCTCATTCTCTTTTGTTTTCTGCGTTAATCTTTCGCTCCTGAATCGGCCATTGAGTTGTTTTGCGGCGCTTTATTTGGCTCTTCGTCGAATAAGAGAGACCACAACAAATGATGTAAGAAGCTATTATATTGTTGTTCTCGCAAATTTAAAATGATGCTACTCTTAATTATAAAAGTTGGCAAAAATTTGGAACCGATACAGGCACGGAATGAAAATCAAACAAAGGGATCGGCGAAAATGACCAAAAACCACCAACAAAAAATAAGTCATTTTTTAAAGAAAATACTTAACAATTTTTAATCGATGTGAGAAAATAGTAAAACGATAACGATATATACATAGATTAATAGTATCATTTTTTTATGCCACTGTTTTTATTGCTTTTTGGATACGCTCACTTTATCGCGGCATCGCGGCAGTAATTTCTGTACCAATTACACCTTTTATAAAAAGCACCAAATGATTAGCTCACCGAAATGTCCAAGGATATTCTCATCGACAATATGTGTCGTATAGTGTTATATGTAGATGTCGGTATAAAATAATGATAGTATACTTTTATATGTGAGCAGAACCACGTGGCAAATGGCTGCATATGTTAATTATTTAATTATGATGCCATCGAACCAAAACTACAAAATCTTAAGGTATATTCAAATGCCCAAAGAAACAAACAAATGATATTGGTTTTCTTAAAAAAAATAACAAATAATAATGTATTAATTAAATAGTGGAAAGAAATATTAAGGGGACCTCTATGCTTTCAACTACAGTATTTGATTTTAATAGTCAAAATGTAAACAGCATGCTAGCTATAGTAAGCTATAGTTTATTGAACTTTTACATGTGTTACTAAGTGAGAGGCAAAATGATGATTCATTGACCAGATAAATAACACACATGTGTATTTACGTATATTTAAGTGTGTGACCTATTTACGTTTATAGAAATTGAAAAATATGTGTATAAATAAACTCTAACTATGGCGTATATAAGCATATACATGCAAAAATATAAATATATATAAAGTCACCCTAACCAAATTTGTCGATTTTCTTAGAAATAAGGAGGTTTGTGTCGCCTTTTTTCAATTATATCGAAACATTGTTTTAATTTCATATAGATAATTAGTTTACCCCTACTGTCTCTCAAACGAGAAAGTCCAATGGGAATGGAAAAACTGAATAATCTACCTGCTCACTATTGCTAATGCTTCGTCGACCAAGTTAAGAAATACTAATAAATTAGCTGAAAGAGAGAGAATAACTTGATCGATAATGTCTCCAATGGATGATGGTTAACGCTGGGGCACGTGTTCATATATCATAAGAACAAGATCGTTGTTGTGGATAAAAGCGGGAAATGATTATTGCAACAAAAAGAAAATCTCATTAAATCAATTGGTTTATTTAAATGTGAAAAAAATTGGAGAGAGTGACGAACAAGATGATGTATACCACTACAATCGTGCCTCATCTCATATATTCTAAAAGATAAACGCCAATAATGCAGGCCACATTGCTTATACTTCCAAAACTTTAGCGCATATATATACACTCGATCCTAACTAACTAGTAACTACCATATATTAGTAGTGTCATCGATCTAATAATATAGATTCGAATTTTACTTGGATATCATATCATCCTCCTTTATAAACTAATCGATTCATTTGAATATTTGATGCTGAATATATACATTTATTTATAGATATACAGTGTAAAAAGCTCCCCAGAAAGAAACCAACAGCATTAAACAGCTGGGGGATTTTGTTGTGTGGAGGTCGACCTTTCAGTGTTGAGATAGGCCAATCATGTTTTTTTTTTTTTTTTTTTTTTTTTTTTTTTTTTTTTCCATTTAAAAAAAATATATATGATGTTATTTAATAATACTTCTATACAAGTATTTCTTTATTATATAGTACATTTTTTTTGTTAAGGAGTATAGTAAAAAATAATATATATATATGTTAATACAGTAAAACCTCTATAAAACAATAATGTTGGGACTTTGAAAATTTATTATCTTATCGAGTTATTGTTTTATCGATAAAATAATAATAATTATTTTATAAAAATATTCTATAAAAAACAAGAAACTTTATAGAAATATATGTAAGTAGGTACACGTAAGGAATCAATTGTGGCTTCGAAAACTCTTCACAACTTTTAGCCCCATAAATTGTTGATGCAATAAGAAAAATTCAAGATGAGCTCCAACGAGAATCCAACTTTCATAAAAGACAAACTACATTGGAGTCATATTTTACTAAATTGCCTTAGATATATATGCCTTAGTTTTATAATTATTATCTTAGCCTATTGTTGGGACTATATTTTTACATAGGAGTTTCAAAAATATTATTGTCTTATCATCTTATCGCATTATGCTATTTTTTACATTGGCCCGAGTTGGGACCGGAGAAATTTATTATCTTATAGTGTTTATTGTTTTATAGAGGTTCTAGTGTATGTGTGTGTTTAATGCATTATATCTTACTCGTAACATCCATCATATAATCTTTGAACGTTCACGTGAATATTAAACACACACTGAATAGCATGTATCTTTTTTTATTAGGTGTTGCTATTTTATCGAATTGTAGAACACAAAACTAAAATAGTTATTTGGTTTGCTTTAGTCCGACTTGATTCTACACAGAACAAAAAAAACACAATATTCTACTCTTAAGACCATTAGCCGATGTTGATCAATTAATTTTCACATTTTACCAAAAAAAATGTTTTACACAAACAATGTTTTGGCCGCCTAGGCAGCTGATGTTTAACATTACACATGCAATTATAAATGTGATTCAAACTTAGATATGCAGAAGATATGATAAGCATGAACTTTATCAAGGACGTTTCAGATACGGTTCGCATGTTATTGTTAAAGGGTTCGCATGTTATGTTGTTATTACAGTTACAAGATATTATTAATTTGGTTTCCATTTCTTGCAATATCGCGACAAAGACAAAAGAAGACTGTTTGGAGGCAAGCCACCATGGAAGTGACCATGGACCGCTTAAAGATGATACGAAAACTTAGCACATGATAGAAAGCCACAACATGGATAAAGAAGACCAAAATTATTTATTTATATATTTATGGGATTTAAGTTAAAAAAACCCAATTTGCTTTCAATCATCATCGTCATATTCCCTAAAAGGATAAAATGTCGCAATCAGCCACGCGCAGAAACTTCTGGTCTCTGGACGTATTAGAGGTTTTCAAAGCAGAGAAGGACACGACCACGTGACCGTCAACATAACCACGCACCCAGTCTCATAGGGCACTCACTGATTAAGAAGCAGTAGAAGAAGAACATATCTACTCTCTTAACATTTTCTTCTCATCGACATCATCTCCTTAACGACACGAAAACGATGTTTGTTTCTTCTTATGACCCACTTCGAGTTTGATAGCGTGATAAGTGAGAACTGTTAGCTGATAAGCTAAAGGGAACAAAGAAATAAGCGAATAGGCTGCCAAAAATCAATATTGACAGTGCAACTTCTGATCAGGATTAGTGTAACAATCGTAAAATTTCGACTAAACACAATAAGGCTGCCAAATACTGTATATCGCGGTGAACGCCTTGTCATTTTTATTTTCCACTGTATAAAAACGTGCAGTCGTTTCTGTAACGCAGTGAAAAACAACCTGTCGTTTTTATATCCTAGTGTTAAGTAACACCCTCGATACGACGTAGTAACGTGGACGTTTGCGAACAAAACGAGTTCCTCTGTTATTGGGCTCTGCTGATATAAAAGCCTTTTAAAAAGGCGTTTGTTATGTATGGCCCATTATAATATCTCTCTCCGGTACAAAGAGCAGCAAATTAGAAGAAGTTCGTTGACGGATAACAAAACTCGCCGGTAAGACTTAACGACGAGCGACGACGGTTGGTCTGGGATCGAATCGGGCGGGCGGAAGGAATTGTCGAGGATGATCGGCCGGCGTGCTGGAACGAATCGAGTAGATATGAGGAGGGACGACTCTCTTCTGACTCGGTTTGTTGACTCAGTATTCTATTACTTCCGATTGGCTGAGTTTGAGATCCTCTTTGTTCTCTTCGTCGTTATCGCCTACGTCATCTTCAAGGATCTGGTAATTTCATTTCGATAATCGCAGCCAAATTTCTTTTAAATCATCTCGATTTCGACAAAAAGGATCGCATTTTTGGTGATATTGATTGCTATTTTTTTGCAGACATCGAGGCCGGAGTACAATCGGATTCTTGTGGAGAAACCCGGTGGAGCTGACATCTGGCCGTTCTAAATGAAGAAAAAGAAGATATTTTGTTATGAATGGTTAGTTCTCGGTCTCTGTAGGACGTGTGTGGTTGCTTGTACACGGCAATGTACTGCTTAATCTTTCTTCTCTTGTACATGTCACTTTGTTCAATTCGTCAGTGTAATTCTCCTTCCACAGTTTTAATGCATCGGTTTCGTTATATTTCGTGATAATGCGATCAGTTTCAGTCACTACTCTCACTCGGTTTATTGGTATGTTGATGTTCACTTTAGTCTATTGCGGATTCAGCATCTTTTTTACGCATAGGAGGTGATGATAGATAGTTCCATGGTTGAGTAGTGTTCAATTCGTCAGTGTAATTCTCCTTCCACAGTTTCAATGCATCGGTTTCGTTAAATTTCTTGATAATGCGATCAGTTTCAATCACTACTCTCACTCGGTTTATTGGTATGTTTATGTTCACTTCAGTCTTTGCGAATTCAGCATCTTTTTCTCGGTTGTGTTAAGTGTACGCATGGGAGGTGATGATGATAGATAGTTACATGGTTTAGTAGTGTATGTGATTTTGGTTTATATCTGAGAAGACTTTGTCTCTATTATTTAAGCAAGAAGAATGGACTGAAGGAAGAAGTAGCCAAGTAGCCAAATAGTATTACAGATAATCTCTAGGCTTGGTTTGTGTGTTTTTATATAGGGAGAAACAAGTCTTGAGATAGATAGCAAAGTAGAAGCCAAGTGACCAATCAGAATAGCCATTACATGTTCTGTGTTGTTCCTTGATCGCTTTATAACCTGGCCAAAGGATTTGGTCCTTTTGGAGTGTCCCATTCAGTGGTGATGTGGTTACGGGTGATTTCCTTGAGAGACCGGCAGCCACTTAGTGCCATGGTCAGCTCGAACTCATCGCGTAGCATTTGAAGCACCTTTCTGACTCCAGCCTCTCCTTCAGCAGCCAATGAGAACACCACTGGTCTTCCAATCTGAGATAGTGAGATTGAGAGGGAAAATAGATAGTGTGTTATTAGTGTCAATGGTCTCAAGTAGTTTTCTGGTGAATGGAAAATATGATGCTTACAAAGATTCCGGAGGCTCCAAGTGCAAGTGCCTTGAAGACATCAGTGCCACGTCGAACACCACCATCCAAGAAGACAGGGATTCTTCCTTGTGTCGCTTTCACAACCTGAACTCATGAAGAACAGAGCTGAGATTGCTGTCCATAAATTTGACTTTTGTATTCAAGAATGAGATACCTCTTCCAAGGCTGAGATTGTGGCTGGGACATAGTCAAGCTGGCGAGCTCCGTGGTTTGATACAATGATTCCTGCTGCACCAGCTTGAACAGCTATCCTTGCTGCAGGAGGATAATTATAGTTGACCTGGTTAGGTATATTTATTAAACTGAAGTGTAGGAGACGTTTGTTTGTGAGATTGTAACTCACCATCCTCTCCTGTTATAACACCCTTGACAAGAATCGGCATTTTGGTGATTGTCTGGAGCCACTGGACGTCCTGTTTGTGTGTTGATGAAAGTTAGAGCCACTCAGTTTGTTTTTATCTTTTAAACTGTTGTACTCTCTTACCTTCCAGCTTAAGGTACGGTCAATTTGACCAGAAACATATGAAGCCAAACCAGAGTCGTTGGCCTGCAGGTGGAAACATAAAAAGCTCAGGAAACTTAAACAGAACAAGTCTGCTTTTTAAGACTTGTCTTCTCAGAATCATATTCAGAGTATAATATTAATGCAAGATGTACCTCGTCCATCTTTCCAAGATCAAGACCTTCAAAGTTCTTCAGAGTCAGGTTTGGAGGCAAAGTGAATCTGTAGTAGCATAAACACACATCATGACTCTCCACTCTCTAGCTATATGTTTGCATATTAAAATCCAGTAAACTCTTTACCACACATGTTGATTGACTTGGGTTTACCTGTTCTTGATATCAGATTCTCTGCGACCTAGCCTTGGGGTGTCTACAGTGAGAGCAATGGCTTTGAAGCCAGCCTTCTCGGCTCTTCTCACGAGCTGCTCAACCACCTTCCTGTTCTTGTAAACCTATACTCAGAACGAACATAATGTGTGAACCATCAAGCTAGTGTGACAAGTTTTGGCAGGATAAACAACAAGCTTTCCGAGATAACTTACATAGAGCTGGAAGAATCGGATCCCTGGTCCTGTGGAAGCCACTTCTTCAACACTGGAAGTAGCCCATGAAGAGAGTGTCTGAAACATAAGACATGGTTATGCAAAGGTTCTGGATTAAAGAAGCTCTAAACAATGAAAAGGTTAAGAATCTTGCTTTGGACGAAACCATTCGTGACAAAATAATAACATACCATGATGGTTCCAGCAGCAGAGGCAGCTCTAGCCGTAGCATATTCCCCTGCATTAGTTCCCATTAGAACAAGCCTTAGTCACTCTCTCTAGCAATACTAAAACAAGTTTTCACTCTACATAGATTGTTTCTACAAAATTTGAATGAGTGGTTCAGGAAAAAGCAGACTCGTCTTATACCTTCAGGGTGAGCCATCTTTTGAAAGGCAGTAGGAGCAACCATGATTGGCATGGAGATCTTGAACCCCAAAACGGTGGTTGTCATATCAATCTTGCTCACATCAATTAGAATTCGAGGTCGAAAGCTGTTAAACCATCCCAAGGTATGTTAATCATCAAAATCACATCTACTATACAAAAACATATGACGAGTGTTATCATGTTTTGGGATAAGAAAAAGAAAAGAAAACTCACAGGATCCTTGCGAAAGCGTTTCTGTTCTCTTGAAGAGTCCATTGGTCCTCTGCACCAGAGGCATAGTAGTCGTACGCCATCTTAGGCAACTTCTTCTTTGCGATCTCTTCATACTCGGAAACGTTTGTGATCTCCATTTCACCGGTGTTAAGTCTGTCAAAAGAGTAAGAAACGCCTGAGAGTTAGTTATCTTTTGTGGAATTCAGACATAGTCATAGCTACCAATCTAACTCCAAGAGAAAAAAACATGTCCATGAACGCAAAACTATCTGGCTTCTGTTTGGTGTTAACAGAGAATCTCACTCACCTTGATTGGAATGGAACTCTCGCGAGAGATGAAGTGTATGACTGGTAAGCAAAGCTTTATATCATATATATCTCAACGTTTTATTATTTGGTTTAAAAGTAAAATAATTGTGATGGATTAATTGCTTGTGAATGATTTTTTTTTTCTATAACAAATGGAAAATTGTTGGCAAAGGACAATGATATAGATGAGAAGCTAGAGGTGAAGAATAGAGTAAGAGATACTGACAAAAGATCATACTGGTCGTGTCTAATCCACAAGCAACTCGTGTGTTCCTTACATTTTCTTTCATATTATCGTTCTTAATCTCAAGGAAAAAATAAATAATTTTGTACACCAATTGTTTTGCTTTCCTTTTGAAAGGGTATAAAATCCAACAAGAGTATGACAGTGAAACCAACAATCAAAAAGGGTGTGATGAAGAACAGTAGGCCTACATATAACTCTTCAAGCCCAAAATCTATTGAAGAGAGCCCATAATCCGTGATATGTGCTTACATTCTCCTCTATATTGCACTTTCTAGCAGTGAAATCTTCTTCAATAAGGTTTAACTTGAATCTCACAACTTGGATTTGTATTCTTGCGTCGTATTGGTTTGTGCTCTTTCGATTTGTGAACCGGTCACTAGCTGTCTCTAACTGTATAGCAAGAAGAATCAACATAAGGTAGAAGTAGCTAGCATTACAGAGACTCTCTAGTCATTGTTTTGTGATTTGATATAAGGGAGAAACCAAATAGCATTACATAGAAGCTCTAGGCAAGGTTTGTGTTTTCGATTACAAGGAGAAACAAAGTCTTGGAAAATAAATAAACAGAGTAGAGAAGCCAAGTGACCAATCAGAATATGAATAAGTTTTTAGCTATTACATATGCACTCTGTGTTGTTGTTTTTGGTCCGTGTGTCTATAACCTGGGCAAATGGCGTGGAGTGTCCCACTCGGCGACGATGTGGTTGCGAGTGATTTCACTGAGAGACCGGCATCCACTTAGTGCCATGGTTAGCTCGAACTCATCACGTAACATTTGAAGCACTTTTCTGACTCCAAGTTCTCCTTCAGCAGCCAGTGAGAACACCACTGGTCTTCCAATCTGAGAATTGAGAGGGCAAAGTAAAATTACTGTGTAAGTGGTTTCAAGCAGTTTTCATGTGTATGGATAATATGATGCTTACAAAGATTCCGGAGGCTCCAAGTGCAAGTGCCTTGAAGACATCAGTACCACGTCTAACACCACCATCCAAGAAGACAGGAACTCGTCCTTGTGTTGCTTTCACAACCTGAACAGATGCAGAACAGAGCTGAGATTTTTGTACATATACACAACTTGATGTTTGTAGTTGAGAATGATTTACCTCTTCAAGTGCTGAGATTGTGGCTGGGACATAGTCAAGTTGGCGAGCTCCATGGTTTGACACAATGATCCCTGCTGCTCCAGCTTGAATCGCTATCCTTGCTGCACGAGGGACAATGATGGTTGATATGGTCAGGAAATTTACTTAAGTGAAGGAGACATTTGTTTGTAGTTGTAAGATGGTAACTCACCATCCTCTCCTGTGAGAACACCCTTGACAAGAATCGGCATGCTGGTGATTGTCTGGAGCCACTGGACATCCTGTTAGTATTTTGATGGAAATTGGATCAGTCAAAAGTCAAGTTTATGTTTCCAACTACTCGGTTTTTCTGTGCTGTCTTATAATTTTGCTGTATTCTCTTACCTTCCAGCTCAAGGTACGGTCAATTTGACCAGCAACATATGAAGCCAAGCCAGAGTCATTGGCCTGCAGGTTGAAACATAATCAGTATGCTTTTAAGACTTGTTTTTTGAGTGGGAGATTTCCAGTAGTCAGACTATTGTACTGCATAGGATCTTATAGATGCTTACCTCGTCCATCTTTCCGAGGTCAAGGCCTTCAAAGTTCTTCAATGTCAGGTTTGGAGGCAAAGTGAATCTGTAGTACCAATAAACACACATCGTTACTCTGTAATTTCTAGCTCTCTTTTTGTATGTTCAAATGCAGTCAACTTTTTAATAACATTTTGATTGACTTGGCTTTACCTGTTCTTGATATCAGATTCTCTGCGACCTAGCCTTGGGGTGTCTACAGTGAGAGCAATGGCTTTGAAGCCGGCCTTCTCGGCTCTTCTCACGAGCTGCTCAACCACCTTCCTGTTCTTGTAAACCTATACTCAGAACGAACATAATGTGTGAACCATCAAGCTAGTGTGACAAGTTTTGGCAGGATAAACAACAAGCTTTCCGAGATAACTTACATAGAGCTGGAAGAATCGGATCCCTGGTCCTGTGGAAGCCACTTCTTCAACACTGGAAGTAGCCCATGAAGAGAGTGTCTGAAACATAAGACATGGTTATGCAAAGGTTCTGGATTAAAGAAGCTCTAAACAATGAAAAGGTTAAGAATCTTGCTTTGGACGAAACCATTCGTGACAAAATAATAACATACCATGATGGTTCCAGCAGCAGATGCAGCTCTAGCCGTAGCATATTCCCCTGCATTAGTTTCCATTAGAACAAGCCTTAGTCTTTCTCTCTAGATATACTAAATCAAATTTTCACCCTCATACAACATACAAGCTTTCAACAGAATGTTTCAGGAAAAAGTTATCTCGTATTTACCTTCAGGGTGAGCCATCTTTTGCATGGCAGTAGGAGCAATCATGATTGGCATGGAGATCTTGAACCCCAAGACGGTTGTTGACATATCAATTTTGTTCACATCAATCAGAATCCGAGGTCGAAAACTGTTAAAACATACCAAAGGGTCTCTCACATCACAACTTATCACAGCTCTTGTAAAACTACTAATAACAGAAAGTGTTATCTTATCTTGAGAAAAGAAAAGAAGAAAACTCACAGGATTCTTGCGAAAGCGTTTCTGTTCTCTTGAAGAGTCCATTGGTCCTCTGCACCAGAAGCATAGTAGTCGTACACCATCTTAGGCAACTTCTGCTTTGCGATCTCTTGATACTCGGTGACGTTTGTGATCTCCATTTTTCCGGTGTTAGTCTGCCAAAAAGAGTAAGAAACGCCTGAGAGTTAGTTATCTTTTGTGGAATTCAGACAGAGCCACAGCTACTAGTGTAACCTCCAGAAATTCAGACACGAGTGTCACTGTTTGGTCTTAAAACACAAACCTTGATGAGAATGGAGCTCTAGGGAGAGATGAAAGGTGTGACTGGTAACCAGAGCTTTATATCATATATATCTCAATGTTTTAAAATATTGTGATGGATTGATTTGTAAAAGTGTAAAAAATTGTTGACAAGTTGGAAAATAATATTATGGATGAGAAGCTGGAGGTGAAGAATGGTTGAGGAGATACGGACAAAGATCAGATGGGTTGTGTCTAATCCACTAGCAACTTGTGTGTTCCTTAGCTTTTCTCTCATATTATCGTTCACAATCTCGAGGAAAAAATAATATTATTTCATCAACCAATTCCATAATAACTCCAAGAGTAGATGAAATCATGAAATGATATAACTGAAAGAAAACAGAAAAATGAAAAGAGTGGGAGGAAGAACATTCAAGGGCCTCATGAACATGAATTACAATAGATTAAACAAGAAGGCCGAGAAAGCCCAAACGATTGGGCTTTATATGTGAGGAAAGGCCCATAATACGCAATTCGTTGTGGAGGATAATCAGAGTGGGACCCATTTGAGTCGTTCTTCTCACCGTCTTTCTTATATATCAGCTCTAGTTTGAGAAGATGGGAAAGTGAAATTAACTTCAGTGAAGGAGAGAGGAGGACGAAAGAAAAATAAAGCAAGCGGAAGAGGAAGAGAAAAAATAATTAAATAACAGAGCGCGACAACTTTTTGGCCGTAATCGGAGATCACAATTATCGGATTCAATGGCGGATCGGAGCAGAGGATTTATGAGAGATGAATTCGTGACCTATGCTTACATTCTTCTATACATCGCTCTTTCTAGCGGTCAAATCTTCTTCAATAAGGTTTAACTTAAATCTCACAACCTATCTTTCCATGGATCTGTGTTCTCGCATCGTATTGCTTTTTTTTTGTTTCTGCTCTTTTGATTTGTGAACCGATCGCGTGAGGATTTGAGCTGCGTGTTTGGGAGGTTCGACTGTAATTGTTCTCGTGAAAGTTTACTAGCAGATTTTAGAAATTCATCTGTAGTTACAATTCAACATTGAGTGTTCATATATAAGCATATATTATATGCGAATTGTTCCCGCTTTAAGGTTTGATTGCGTTGCGTTTGCTCTCATCGTTAGCCGGTGCATCAGTTTCTCTGGAAAGTTTACTTCATGATTAACGTTTTTGTCTCTGACTTGCTCTTCCTCTTCTGCAGTGGGTTTTGTCATCAAAGGAAATAAACTTTCCTTATCCGCTTGGATTGACTTTACTCCATATGATATTTTCCTCTGTCTTGTGCTTTCTTCTTACCAGAGTTCTTAAGGTACCCAATCTTGCAACGATCTTCCTTTATTTGTTCATAATTAAGAATGCATAGATTTTAACATTTGGTATTTTTATTCTCTGCATAGGTCGTGAAGGTTGAGGAAGGAATGACATTAGAAATGTAAGGAAGAAAGAGACTTCGTAAGCAATTTTGATTTTGGAGTAGTTCAAAATACCCACAACTTGGACTTTTCTTTACCAATGTAGTAATAAATGACTCACTTTTATGTACTCAGATATGTTACATCAGTTATTCCAATAGGTGCAATGTTTGCGATGACCCTCTGGTTGGGAAACACTGCCTATCTCTACATATCAGTTGCATTTGCTCAAATGTTGAAGGCTATAAGTAAGAAGACCCAACTCTTCATGCTCTCATTTCATACATCTTAATGAGCTGGATTGTGGTGATACCAATATAATCCTGAAATCACTTTTGCAGTGCCTGTGGCTGTGTTTATCCTTGGGGTAGCTGCTGGGCTTGAGATAATGAGCTGCAGGATGCTTTTGATTATGTCTATCATAAGTTTCGGTGTGTTAGTGGCTTCTTATGGGGAACTAAACATCAACTGGATCGGAGTGGTTTACCAAATGGGTGGTGTTGTTGGAGAAGCCCTGAGGCTAATCTTCATGGAAATTCTTGTGAAGAGGAAGGGCATCAAATTAAACCCAATCTCTCTTATGTACTATGTCAGCCCCTGCAGGTTAGTGAAATCCCAAGTTAAAACCCATCTCTTAATTCTCTCTTTCTTTTGTATCTTTATGTGGCTTCCTTTTGCAGTGCTATTTGCTTGTTTGTGCCGTGGATCTTTCTGGAGAAAACGAAGATGGATGGCAATGGCCCATGGAACTTCCATGTTGTGGTGTTGACACTTAATTCCTTATGCACATTCGCTCTCAACTTGTCGGTTTTCTTGGTGATTTCTCACACGAGCGCTCTCACTATCCGAGTTGCTGGCGTTGTCAAGGACTGGGTGGTTGTCTTGGTCTCAGCTCTTCTCTTTGCCGACACAAAACTCACAGTCATCAACCTCTGCGGTTACGCCATTGGTAAAGTCAAAACCTCTCACGTTACATTACAATGGTAAAGTCATTGAGAATATCAGAGTTTTTCTTCTCTTATAACTGAGCTTTGTGTTTACACTGCAGCCATTGCCGGTGTAGCGGCTTATAACAACCATAAGCTGAAGAAGGAAGCATCCCTGGTAAAGTCAAAACCTCTCACGTTACATTACAATGGTAAAGTCATTGAGAATATCAGAGTTTTTCTTCTCTTATAACTGAGCTTTGTGTTTACACTGCAGCCATTGCCGGTGTAGCGGCTTATAACAACCATAAGCTGAAGAAGGAAGCATCCCGAGTCACCTCAGAAACTCCAGGAGATGCTGAAGCTATACCTTTGGTGTCACAGGCTAATACAGAGAGATGATGATGATGTAGTTTCTCATCAGTCTTGAGGTAATCTTTGATTGTTTTTGTGATATGTACCGCTCTCCAAATTATAACTCATACACAAACTCTATTCTGTACCTGAAAAAGAAACAAATATTAAACCATTTTCTCCATTTCTCATGATTTTTAGTCACACTAGTGCATTTGTTATGTAGATGATATATGAACCTTGAGCGAATCTTATCATTCACATAAAAGGCAGAAAAAAGTAAATTTTGTCTAATTCTTTTCCTCTCCGAGAAGTAATTTTTTGTTTCCTTTTTTTTTTCAAATATAAATCAGCTAAATTTTAATGATAAAATAAAAATATTACATACTGAAAGAAGAAGTATTGCTACGTGTCGTCAAACCGTGTTCTGGCTTCAAAAATGGGCCTCAAAGCCCAGTAACAGGATTTCATCTTCTTGTCGTCTTTCCTTTTTCGATATATCTACCTGGAATTTATATTTAAAAATAAAATAAAAAATGGAGAGGAGAAGAGGAAAAAAAAAGGTAAATACCAGGCTTCGCGATTGTGGGGTTTGTTGCTGGGCGGGTCTCTTCCCTCGGCAGTTACCTCCATCGAATCGATCTCTTCTTTCTTCCAAACTCTTCCCCTTCGAAATCAATAAATCTTCCACAAATTTCTAGTAGAATATTGTATTTTTAGGAACCCGAAGTGCGAGAATTAGAAAGAGAGAGGAAAGAGGAAGCGGGAAATCGCCGTGGTTTGTGGTGGCGGCGAGAGATGCGATCGTAGCTGTTGGCTTCGCCGTGGCGGCGAGTCAGCGATGAGCGGTTGCGTTGGTGGTTTTCTCCGGCGGAGAGGAACCGATTTTAATGGGATTTAAACTGCAGATGAGCTGGATGCCGAGTCTACTAAGTCAGAAGCGGAGAAACGGTCCGCCCTTAGGGTTACGGAATCTCGGCAACACCTGCTACCTCAATAGCGTCCTTCAGTGCCTCACCTACACTCCTCCCCTCGCTAATTTTTGCCTCAGTCACAAACACTCCTCTCACTGTAAGTCTCTCCTTCTCTAAGATTTCTTCTTCTTACGTCGCTTCCTCGCTTCCATTAGGTTAAATTTCACGTGTTAGGGATATCGAGGCCTTGCCGTTAGGAAGTTTCTCAGAAGTTTCATACAGGTTTTTGGTATTGTAGTTTGCTTATACAGCTTTTGGATATATCAGAGATGGTTCTACATTTGTGTTACTTATTACTTCGTTTGTTGTATTGCATCTGTGACGCTTTTGGTGATGACTCTCTGCTTTGGACTGTTTTTGTTAATGAATGTTTTATAGGCGACTCGCATGTGGATGGGGAGCGGAAACGGGATTGTCCTTTTTGCATAGTAGAGAAACGAATAACAAGGTCTCTTAGTGTGGATCTAACAACCGATACGCCAAGTAAGATTTCGAGCTGCCTCAGGCTTTTCGCCGAGCATTTTAAGTTTGGGCGTCAAGAGGACGCTCACGAGTTCTTGCGCTATGTGATTGATGCGTGCCACAATACCTCTCTCCGCCTGAAGAAGTTGCGGATGAAGGGTGTTGAGCCCCTTAATGGCAATACTGTGGTGAAGGAGATTTTTGGTGGTGCTTTGCAGAGCCAGGTCAAGTGTTTGTCATGTGGTGCAGAGTCGAATAAGGCGGATGAGATTATGGATATCAGTCTTGAAATTTTGCACAGTAACTCGGTGAAGGAATCGATGCAAAAGTTCTTTCAGCCGGAGATTTTAGATGGCAACAATAAGTATAGATGCGAAAGGTAAGTTATTTGACTCCTCCACTCTTCTTTCTTTTAGTGTGTTTGTGGTTATGTGTTTTCTTAACAGAAGTTATTTCGTTTTTTTTAGCTGTAAGAAGCTGGTGACAGCGAGGAAGCAGATGTCAGTACTCCAAGCGCCCAATATCCTTGTTATCCAATTGAAAGTAAGTATTATCATGTTTGTGATTAAGTAAGGTAAGTGATATTTTAGATATGTGCTCTAATCGTTTCGTTTTCACAGAGATTTGAGAACATTTTTGGTGGGAAGATTGACAAGGCCATTGCATTTGGTGAGATTCTGGTTCTCTCGAGCTTCATGAGTAAGGCAAGCAAGGTACAATATTCTGACCCTTAAACTTTAAGTTTGTTTGCCAGTTTCTGGTACTGGTGTTGCATATCTGGTTTGGGGCATATCAGAAAGTGCAGGGTTGTAACTCCCAATATTCGGAGCTAGTAGTTTACTGCAGTTTAAGTGGAGTTTCAACCTTGTTAAGCTTTCCGATATGATTTGCATATAAGATATTGAAGAATTTGCAACGTTTATAGTTTTTAGGTTGGCTAAGTTTTATTTATCCTTTTTGTTACTGTCCAATAATCTAACAGGATGGATATTCTTGTTAGGCATCAGTCTGACATGACCTTTCAAATATCGCCTTTGATTGTATCGGATTAGTTAAAGGTTGAGACAAGCAGCTAAGTTGGATATTGTGCTACAATTTTATATCCTGTTTGATCACGTTATAGGCTGCTAAACAGTATGAATTTTGATGTTTCCGAGTTCTTTAAGATGAAATTCAGTCATCATAGTGCTCTGTGAAATTGGACTAGCTCCAAATATAACTGGACTTGCCTACTCCTGCTTTTTTAATTTATCGATTTACGCTATCAAAACTGCAGGTGCAGGACCCTCAAGCGGAATACAAGCTTTTTGGGATAATTGTGCACTCAGGATTTTCTCCTGAATCTGGGCACTATTACTCATACGTTAAGGTTCTTTCCTGTCCCTTTTACACTTTTCACGCAACTCAAACTCTTGAACTGCTTGCTGACTTTCTAGCTTCTGCGTGTTACGTGTAGGATTCCTTGGGTCAGTGGTATCGCTGCAATGACTCGTTCGTCTCGCTCTCCACCTTGCAAGATGTTTTGTCAGAGAAAGCTTATATTCTGTTTTTCAGCCGCTCCAACCAGAGGCCAGCATCTGCTAAAGCTCTGGTAACATCCAATGGGACCACATCTCATGAGGTTAACGGCTGTGAGACATCAAAGTCCAAGAAGTTTATTGGTCCTCTCAATAACGCTAACACGAAACCACGACCCGAGCAGTCCTTCCAGAAGGAAAATCAGGCTTCTCCCAAGCCCCATAAATTTATCAGGCCGCTGAAAGATGTGAATATCCTGAAACCACGGCCCGAACAGTCCCTCCACAAGGATAACCTTGTTTCTTCCTCAGTTGAAAAGGCGCCTCTAAAGCCACACGCAAAGGTGGTCATATCTGTCAACCTTGGTGCCAAAAGGGTCACTCCTTCCGTCAATGGTAGACTACTCTCTTTCCACCAAGATCAGAACATAGCTCCAACGGCGGACAAAGAGAATAGCGAATCTGTTTCACCAACTAGGGTTCACTATTGCTCGGAGAAAAATGCTGTGACTGAAAATGGAGTTAAAGAAAACGGCAGTGCACCAGGTAGTAGTAGTAATAATCATGATGAAGTGACATCGCATCCTCGTGAGGATAACGGCTCTAGCAATGGTGGTAATCACCACAAAGATAATCCATGCGAGAGTAATGGCTCACAGAATGGAACTACTCATCACCCGAAAGGAAACTTAAATCCATGCGAGAGTAATGGGACTAGTCATCACCAGGAAATTGAGAAAGAAGGTGTTAGTACAAGAACCCAACCCGAAGCCTCGAGTTCTTCAACAAACGAAGACTCCTGCATTTTGCTTAGAAAAGATAAATCATCTCAGGATAAACTTGAAGCAATAAAAGAGAGGTATCTTTTTTGTTTTTCTTTCATTTGCTTATTACTTCTGATGACATTAGCTAACCTAGAATGAATGCTTTTCGTATTTCCTCAGCCTGAAGAAAGATGCGTCGTCATATTTACGGTCATGCGGATGGTATGATAAAGTACACATCTCCATGCGTGCCAATAAGAGAATGCGTGCAGAGCAATCAGGAGGAGATGGTAACGACTTAAAGTAAGTGAAACTTCTCTACTTTCTTCTCATATTATTATATATCCTCTGCCTCTTCTCTTCCTTGAGTATAATAGCTAGAATTTGCATATTTAAAATCAATGTTCATGGATTAATGGTTGGACCTTGTGCAGGAGGAGGCTGATAGCAGATGTAAAATCAAGTTTGAATTCCCAGATTCCGGAGGAATTAAAAGCAGATCTCGTAAACCGGGTGTTGAAGATTAGCAAGAAGAAGTGCTCGTGAAGACATTACTCAATCTCTACTTGGTATGGTTTCTCTACACTCTCCTCAGTCCTCGTTTTCATCACAGCACACATATTTGCTTTAATTCATTCGGTTGGTGTGATACAGAGAGCGGATCGAGATTTTTTCCTGTGAGAGTGAAGTGAGTTTTTCTTGTTCTTCTTATTATTTTTACATTTTTGGAAGAGAGTAAAAGTAATTACGGGAAAAGGAAAAAAAGAAAGAACAGGTATCTTATTCTGTATAATATGAAGCCTTCTTATTTTATTTCCCTTGTCGATGAAAGCATCACACAATATTTTAGCCCTGTGGATATTAATGTCAAAGCGTTTCTTGGATAACTTTTTTTTTTATCAAATGTGTTGTGTGTGTTTTCTCTAAATATTAACATTAACGTGGTTTCATAAGCGGGTTGGTTTGTAGAAAATATAAAGATGGCTATCAAGAATGTTTAATCAGCAGTGGTATTTGGAAGTGAAGCTGAAATGATTCAACACCGAAAAATTAAGCCAACAACTTTGACGCTGAAGAGAATACACATGATTGAGAAAGAGAAAAAGAAGGGGAAAAAATACAAGAAACGTGTTATTTCTTTGGTCTTCTTTTTATTGAAAAAGAGAAAAAAATGCATTTTGGAAATGGAAGGGATCGCAATTTAATGCTCAAGAGGAAGAGAGCCTGTTGGTCTTGGTGTAATGGCCAAGAGACCACGAAGAGGAGCCTGGACAAGAAGAAGAAAGTCTCTCTGCTGTAGCTCTTACTAATTCTTCAAAGTCGAAGTCTTCCTCTAAAATTGTGGTCAACATGTTCTTGAATGGTTCTCTCGTCGCCGATATCAACTTAGCCGGAGCCACCTCGGTGATGAACCTGGAGGTCTTGACTGTTTCCATTTGTGATTGAGATTGAGACCTTTCGAATCGAGAAGAGAGATTTGGGAGGAGAAAGCTTTTCGTTGGGCATGGAAGAGAGATGAGAGATTGCAAGAGAGATAGTTGTGAAAGATTTTGGTGCTGTCAAGTGAATTTATAGAGAGTATGAAGTGCATGTGATTGTGAAGTACTTGCATCTGACTACATAGGACAATTACATATGTGGAATCGTACTTACGCTCTCTCTCTCTCTCGTCATTAGACGAAATCCAACCTACTTTTTAATGTTATTATATGATCTTTCAGTAAAATTAGGCTTAATTATCTTGTAATATTAGAAAAGGAACCATTGCTTATTTTGAACCTATGGGAAGACGAAATCATTGGATTAGTTACTACAAGTTGGTTTAACAAGAAAAGTTTCACAACTAATTCGAAGTATATATACAAACTCCACAATTTACATTAAAAAACACACCGATACGTATTCAAAATTAAATCCACTGATAAGTATGAAGTTGCTTTCAAGGGGGCGACGGTGTGGGGGCTCTTCATTTATTATGAAAAGCCAAGAGAAATTAGCGAGAACCATCGTACATCGTCGCAAAATGAGTTTAGCCAGCACACGATTTGCCAAACTTTTAGCATTGGTTTCTTGAAGAGGACATATAGTCATATACGTGCTGCATACATTGCCTTATCCTTACCGTCTCTTTACTTAACTCAAAAGCCAGAAGTTACGGGTTAGCATTTAGGTTTTGTTGTTCGAATCCAGAAGTTATGGGGTTTTTTGAATTATTCTGCAAGGTTTATGAACATGCAACTCAAAACAGAGTTGAGATTTATCGATTGTACATCATCTGTCATATTATTATTTTAGATTTCATCTCTTTTTTTTTTTTGAGGAACCTTTAACGTTTTATGTTTGAAATCATCTTTCCAAATTAGATATGAAACTTTTTCTGTTCGATTCATTAGCAGCAATTTTAAATATCTTCAAAACTATGGAGATGTTACCAAACACTAAACAGAAAGCAGGAGGCTACAAATTAAGTTACTAATCTACCTCATATTTAATGTCCTGATGGGACGATTCAGGTAAACATAGTTGTTAGACGTCGTAGGACTCGTACCATATATAGCATTTGAATTTGATGTGTTATTATAGAAACCAGAAACATAACAAAATTGAAGGACCACCTTTGATGTAGCGGAAACTACGATCAACACAGCTCAACCTATGATTCAAAGAAATCAATTGTGACCTGTCAGCTCAACCAAGGAATTCAATAGAATTTTCGCTTGGGACCTGCTTATTGAACTCGTTGAGATCTCAATAGATCTACCGAAAACAAGGACAGAGAATACTCTTCTCTTAAAACCCAAAACTCTTTTATTAATAATCAACAACTTAATATAATACAATAAGCCTAAACGGCTATTTATAAGAAACCCTTAAAACCATAGAAAACCCTAAAACAATAATAGAAAATTATCAAAATAATAATATAAATAACTAGATTAGGCCCCGCGTATACGCGGGTTTATTTTAATTTCCTTTTATAAAAATCATGAAAGAATATTAAACAAAATTTGATCACTTTTAAAAATAAGTAAAATAATATTAAAAACCCGATAATAAATCTCTAAATAAACTAAGATATGTAATATTTTTACATTTTAATTTTGAATTCATGATATGAAATAGAAAAGCTTACATGTGTCTAAATCTAATGGACTCGTTAATTTATGAAACTTTGATTATTCCATTGCTGAAACCTTTATTCTAAATATTGATGAATTTTTTAATATTGTTTTATCTAACAAAAAATGGAAAAATTTAACTATTTAATATTAGAAGATTGGTCCATTATAAAACTTTCTTTTTAATATTATTTAGTTCCTTGATAATTATTTTGTTAGTTTTCTATTTATATTGTTTCTTTTTCAATTTTGTGTTTGCCTCTTACCATTATAAATTTTCATTTTCATTATTAATTAGTTGTTTTACAATTATTTTGTTAGTTTATTTATTTATGTTACTACATTTTTCCAATTTTATTGTGTTGACATATGTCACGATCAAATATTAGACACATGATCTAAAGTTAATTATTCTTCATTGATATCTTGAACTTTTAAAACATGATTTTTTATTTCTTAATGAGAAAGAAACTTAAAAAAATATAGCTTGTTATATTTTCCTTTTCGTATTTGGAATATGTTTTTTTATTCCTTATCTTATTGGATGTAACAATTTTTTAATTATTTCTTCATAATTTTCTGATTTTTCGTTTTTTTTTCCTTTTCGTAATAGGATTATGTTTCTTCTTTACTTTTCCTAATGGATGTAATATTTTTTCTTTTTAATTGTTTATTTCTTTTTTTTTCTGATTTTTCCTAATGTACAAATAGGATTTTATTTATTACATTATTTTGAATTTTAATATGTGTTTGGACAATATAAATTTGATGAATGAGAAAAAATTTTCTATTATGATATGAAAAATATGATTTTTCTTCTTTTTACTCTAATAGATATTTTTTTTAATTTTCCTTTTTCTAACATTTTTTAATTATTTGTTTTTTTTTCCCAAGACACGTGTCATGATCTTAACGGACGTAACATTAAAAAGTGACATATGTCGCGATCCTGAATTATAAAAATCCTACATGTCGCAACCATCTAGCTTTATATAATAAGATATGTGTTTGGATAATATAAATTTGATGAATGGGAAAACCTTTTTCTGTTAGGATATGACAAATATTAATTTTCATTTTTTTAATATAATAGATTAAATTTCGTTTTTTTTAATTATCCTTTTTTCTAGTATTTTTAAAAATATTTTTTCCCCTAATACATGTGTCACGATCTTAACGGACATAATCTTAAAAGTGACACATGTCACGATCCTATATTTTATAAAAATCCTACGTGTCGCAATCACGTTGCATGCATCCAACTTTATATAATAAGATTAGAATATTTCTAAATATCTCTCTGCATCATTTTCTCCGGTTAGAGAAGATGAATCTTAGCCGTGGTCTTCAGCTTCAAATTCCTTTTCTTCAAATTCTTCGAACCATAAGACTTGAATTTTCCACCCTTCGGTCTTTTTAATCTTGCCAAAAGATTCTGCTTCAAGTGCTTTCCTCCACCGTATAATAACAAGAGTAGTAATTAATTTTTCTGGACCTTCTTTTGTGACAACCCAACACTTGTTATTGTTCACGGCGTGGACTTTTGATAACACCATAACCATCGTGTAATCCAAATCATCAACATGAATTGCTTCATCAGGCTAGGTCGACTCAGATCTTCGGCATAAACACTATCGAGTATGTCTTCCATAACAAAAACATCACCGGTGTCTTCTGCATCGACATCATCATCATAAACATAAAAAGTTGGAGGCCCATAGATCTCTCTGTAGATCTGGTCTTCACTTTGAAGAAACGGACTTTCATCCATATAAAGATAAACACATTCACTCAACATGATATCCAAGAATCTGACTTTGATTAAGAAATCAAAGTGATGGCTCTGATACCAACTGATGTAGCGGAAGCTACTATAAACACAACTCAACCTATGATTCAAAGGAATCAATCGGGACTTGTCAGCTCAACCAAGGAATTCAATAGAATTTTCGCTTGGGACATGCTTCTTGAACTCGTTGAGATCTCAATAAATCTACCGAAAACAAAGACAGAGAATACTCTTCTCTTAAAAGCCAAAGCTCTTTTATTAATAATCAACAATTTAATATAATACAATAACTATTTATAAGAAACCCTTAAAACCATAGAAAACCCTAAAACAATAATAGGAAATTATCAAAATAATAATATAAATAATTAGAATATTTCTAAATATCTCTCTACATCAAGCTTTTTGAATTCTATGGCTGATAAAGGTAGCTGCTCCGGTGACGCAAGGCATCCGTTTACGCAATGACATTATTAACGAACAAATTAATATATATATATATCGCCTCTTGTCAGTCTACAATATCCTCAACTAACTTCAGTTCATCCAAACTTCACTGGAAAATGGCGTCGGTTTACTCCACCCTAACCTACTGGCTCGTGGAGCACCCCAAGATCGCCAACTTCACGTGGACCGAAGGTGAAACCCTAGGCTCCACCGTCTTCTTTGTCTCCGCCGTAGTCTCCATTTACCTCTCCGCCACATTCCTCCTCCGTTACTCCATCAATGCACTCCCCTCACTTGGTCCTCGAATCCTCAAACCAATCACAGCCGTCCACAGCCTCGTCCTCTGCCTTCTCTCCCTCACCATGGCCGTCGGTTGCACACTCTCCCTGTTCTCTTCTCAGGCGCCCTCGGGTCTGACGGCGCGTTTCCTCTACGCGATCTGCTTCCCAGTCGACGTGAAACCTAGCGGACCCCTTTTCTTCTGGGCTCAAGTCTTCTACCTCTCCAAGATCCTCGAGTTCGGAGACACAATCCTCATCCTACTCAGCAAATCAATCCATCGGCTCTCGTTCCTCCACGTGTACCACCACGCGGCGGTTGTGGTCATGTGCTACCTCTGGCTCCGAACCCGCATGTCGATGTTGCCGGTTGGGATCGTGGTGAACTCGACGGTCCACGTCATCATGTACGGTTACTACTTCCTCTGCGCCGTTGGATCGAAGCCGAAGTGGAAGAAGTTGGTGACGAATAGTCAGATTGTGCAGTTTCTTTTCAGCTTCGTGTTATCCGGTTGGATGCATCAAGAGCATTTATTCGGGTCCGGTTGCTCCGGGTATTTGGGAAATATTTTTACCGCTGTGTTTAATGCTTCTCTCTTGGCTCTCTTCCTCAACTTCTATTCCAAGAACTATGCGAAGAAGACAACACTGGAGAGCAAAAAATGCGATTGATTATTATTATGCAAAAGAAATTATTAAATTGTCTTAGAGTTGTTTGAATATTATTCTGGCGGGTTTCGATCTCTTGATTTGTTGTTTTATGGAAAATGTATCTCGTGGATAGTTTAAAATTGTTTTATGATGAATAAGATGTAAACACAAAATATACTAGGGAATATCCCGGGCTACGCCCGGAGATTTTGTTATAAAAAATTTATTTGCGTATAGTAATTATAAAGTTTTGTAATTGAACATATAAGTTGTTTATATGTTTTAAAAGGCTCACAAGATAAACTCTAAATTGTTAAAAAATAAAATATATTAGTGTCCTATAACCTTTAGTAACACATAAAAATATGTCATATAGTTGGAAAGTTATTGCATTCTTATTCTTAGTATCAAATCAAAATAAAATGGGTATGTTCTTACCTTCGTGCTGAAAGCATAACCCTGCAGCCGCAAAGAGAAATCTGATAACCTAGTGTCATTGGCTTGATAACCTTAAAGAAAAAAATCTAAACACTTTGCCACATTCAAATCCTAAAATTCCACGTAAAGTAGTGTTTTTAAACCCGGACCGACTCGGTGATCGGACCGGGTTCAACCATGAACCGGAAGTATCTCCGGGCTGGGTTACTACTAAAATCCATTATTAGTTAGACCGTTTAAAACCCGGGTTCAACCAACAAAAAAAATAAAAAACCAGTGACTCATTGAACCATATTGAACCGGTTTTTTAATTAAACAATAAATTTTCTATTTTATTTGATAATTTTAAAGAATATTTTGTTAAAGAATATTTTCAAATATTATCAATTTTAAATAATTTATTTGATATTTAAATTTTATATATATTTCTATACTGTTTAAATATCATAGATATATTCATATATAAAATTAAAAAAAAAATATATTATTTTGAAAAATCATCAAACCAGGTCGAACCCAGTCGAACCATATTAACCCATAACCCAAAACATTTCCGGTTCAGTCACTGGTCCGGTTTTAAAAACACTAACGTAAACATACATTTTGTTTCTCATCTATCTCTTCCGGTTTTATTTCCTTTTCCTAAGCCCTTAAACTCTTTGTCTCTGTTCTTATCACTGTTACAGTAATACTCGGTTGTAGTTATATTATGTATGACCATGTGTATACTTTTACTTTAACCACTTTAGTCAATGTATATCGTTCTACGTTCATGTTCATGTTGATTGCCTCTTTGTATGAAATGAATCAGCACAATTAAGTGAAATATAATTCAGAATTTGTTTTAAAAACATATGATTAGATGATTTAAATTTTGAATGGTTAAACACACAGCTCAGTTTTTCTCTTTGCTTAATCTTTTGAAGTTTTCCTTGACTTGTCTCCCCTGTTAAGTTTACAACGACATGCAAACAGCTTTGTTGAATCCCTAAGAATTGCTTGCAAACCAATCGAGATAAAAACACTACCAAGGTATCTATGCGTGGGACTTGAATATTTTTCTTTTTTCTTTGGTGTTTTCAAAACAAAATATTGCTTGATTGTCTTTAAAAAAAATATATATATAAATACTCATTTCTTCTTACTGCTTCTAAGACTTTCTACTTTTTGTATATATTGTTCATTTTTCTTTTTACTCTTCTAAAATGTTTTGCAGATGTCTCCACATTATATTCCATTTTTTGAGTGGGGAAGAGGGAATTCACTAATTCAGTTTATAACCATCCCTCAATTGACTGTGACGACCCTTCCAATAGGCAGAAATGTACGGCTGACAACATTTTATTAAAGAAAAAAAATGAAACACTCTTGTAGAGTTTTATATAAAAAATCCAAGTGTAGTTGAACAATTAAATGGCAGTTTAATTTTATTATTAAAAACATACATTTAAATAGTAAGGTATTTCTTTAAAACTGAAACCGTAAGTGTAATTCCATATGTCGATCTGATCACAAACATAAGATTATACTGATAAATGAGAACTACAATTTAAACAATATGGAGTGATCTTGGTGATTAGCATACCAATTGAAGAGACTTAGTTTATAAAACAAAAAAAAAAATAGAAAAAACTTGAACATTTGACGAGAATATTTCCTAGAAGTACTAACACCGATAAACACCTTTTATTTCTCTGGGTTTTGTCTTCATCCAGCTTTGCCATTCCATTTGACTAACGTCAAAGAAGCTTCCTCAATCAGAGTGATGCCCTTTGATTATCTCCCGATATTTTGTTGATAGTGGACTGTGGACGTCACAACTAATTGATGATCTTCTGCTCCCACCGAATTGTGAAGATGAAAGGTAAAGTTTGAGCCCGCTAAAAATGATTGTTTGATGCCTGTCTTTCGTGATGACTCTGTTTGATGACTCTGTTTTCACCTCCATGAAAACTTGTTTTTCTTTTCCATGCTTCCATACCTGAAATCATAAGATACCCAAAACCTAATTAGAACATTGAACCTTCTATATCTTCTCACTTATTCTTGGAAGCTAATCAAGATAGACTCTCATGGTTTTAGTGCGAGAAATAACAATAACACATTAAAACCTTTATAATCTCTATAGTAGAAATGTAAAATATGTATAGTCAAAACCTGCATAACTAATAATTATATCATCCAAGATCCATCATCAAGTGTTCAAGAGAATTAAAAAGTTCATAGTTTGCAAATGTATGTTCTCAGCTAAAACCTAACATGATAGAGATTCTTAGATTAAGGATGAAGCAACGTGAAACCTAAGAAAACAAATACGAAACTAATTCATAATTTACTTGTAAGAAAGATCATCACATCATCAAAATGTTATCACGAATTTAGTGAGATGGAAGATAAAGTAGCAAATAGATATGATTTCCTGCAAATCATTTCTGTCACAAGAAGGATCTCCCTCGCAATGTTTGAAGTTGCTCATAATCTTTTAGTTGAACCGCTAATTCCTATTTAAAGAAGGCACTTCATATTTCTTAAAATTTTCAGAGAAAAAGGACGAATAGAAAACAAACCTGGTAGCGAATCGTCGATTTACCTAGAAAGACTTTAGACACCACTGCTTCCAAACGGATTTGAGCTACGGTTCTTGGGAGGAGTTAAGGAATAAACGTGGAGCGTCATATTTGTAAACTTTGAAGCTGTTCATCATCTTTTCGTTCAGTCATTCCAAAACTTGCCTTTACTTCCTTCTCTTCAGACCGATTTCATATCTCCTACAACGGATTGAAGAAGTAGGTTAGATAGAAAAAATGTAACTAAATCAGTAGCGGTGGATCAGAGGGACTTGGCATAAATCCAGTAGTAGATTCACAAGAGAGAGAAGAGGAAGGATTAGGAAGAGTAACTTGAATTGCAGAACTGAAAAAGCTGTACCAACACCTCGTCGTTGAATAACTGGCCATCGATTTTGTCGAGAACCTCGAAAGTCCGTGGCTGGAGAGATGGAGAAAGAGCGTTAGATGCCATTGTAAGATTTCCGAGTGTGTTTGAAGCTGTTTGGGTGTATTTCGTGAGGGGTTTTATAGGGTCGTATGAGAGGTTTGAGGAATCCGATTGGAGTGGTCATAAAATCAAAAGAGTGAGTGGGCAATCAAGATGAGGAAACGGCTATGGTTAGACAAATCGTTTCGTATATCCAGTCTCAATTGTGTAACGCGGCGCAGGTTTGTCGTTTGAAGATGAAGATGACGACTCTATCTCTTATTGTTATGGGCTGATATTGGGCTCAAGTAGTTCTGTGGGTTTTCGTAGAGAAATAAACAGAGAGAAGAAGGCCGTGAAACATGCTGATGTGGCCGTTTTCATTTACAAAGCTGATGTGGCGAGATGGGAAACTCTCGGAAAAAAACTTATGTGGATGCCTTCAGAGGTCAGGCACTTACTTTAAGTTACTAGTAGAGTACCCGCACGTTTGTGCGGTGTGACGTTGTTGTTTTGTGTAGAAAATTTAAACCCTAAATCCGAACCCGACAAAAAACCTAATCAAAAAATTTAAAAACCCAAACTTTTTTAATAGGTCTAAACATGAAAATCCGAAATAAAAAAATCCCGAAAACCCTGACTGAACAAAAAAAATCTGGAAACTTTTTCACCCGGAACCCGACCCCAATACCTAATCAAAATTTTAAAATACTCAATTTTTTTAATATATCTAAACCCGAAAACCAGAAATCTAAAAAATCCGGAAAACCCTAAACTGAAAAAAAAAATTGAACCTAACCCGAACAGAAATTTTCAAAGAAACCCGAACAATTTCTATATCTCTATATATATCTCTATAAAATTATGTCTCAGATTTTCACCCAAACCCGAACTTGTCTATAAAAACCCGAAAATCCAAAAAGCATATTCTATTGATTTGGAATTATCGTTAGATTATGTTAAGTTTTCTTTTTTGCAGATTTTTAAGAGATGGAAAACGGAAGTTTTCTAAACCATCGGTTTATTTTAAGTTATTATTCTTGTATCCAAACAATTTTTTCCATTTATTCTTCTATCCAAATAGATTTTTCTCTTATTCTTATATCCAAACAACTTTTGTTTCCATTTATTCTTCTATCCAAATAGATGTTTCTCTAATTCTTGTATCCAAACATTAGAATGTACTTCTCAATTAATAATATAAAGATTAGAGACTATAATGTCACATAGAGAAAATGAGCAGCTCTCGTTCTCTCTATACTTTGATCTCTTCACAAGAGCCGTATTAAAAAAAAACTAGGAGAGAACCCGCACATGCGCAAGATTTTAATTTATAATTTACTTATTATTAAATTATATAATATTTGTTGATATTTTTACTTGTTTGTTTTCTTGATTTTTGTATGTATTATGATAGATTTGTTAACCATTAGTTTTGAAACTTTAGTAATGGTGCACCGATAAATGCTGTTTATGTTTTTCTCATTATTTTTCTCCTTTTCGGTTTGTCATTACACTTAGCCGGAGGCAGTGAATAAAGAACAAAGGCAATGACTTGTCATCACTCTTCTGTTTGTTTTAGTAGTCAAGTAATCTAATCTCTTCTTATGCGTATGTATCATACTACTACTATAATATAAACGTATTTTAAAATTTTGTTTAAGTGAATGATTCCTTTTCATCAAACCTAACTTCAAACTAAATACATGGCAGTCGCTCCTTGGTTGGTCTTTCCTTGAACATAAATCTTGAATATGAATATCTTCTGATTGAATATGACAAAGTCAATTATTTAGTTTTTTCCTTGTAATTTTTCAACTGGAAGAAACTTGAGCTGTTACAACAATACAGCTAAAAACATAGCAAGTGTTTTATAACACATCTAAGCATGAAGAGAAGATTAAATAAAACCATCCTCGTTGAAGGTCTAGTAATGTTCAAAGACATGAACTGAGGCAAAATAATACACAACTCAATACATATGAAGTATATCAAGTATGGATGGATATCCAGATTTACTTCAGCAACCTGCACCTCCGTGATAATCCATGGGCAAACAATTTGAAGTAAGCTTTGATTCTTCATAGCAGCTTCTATTGCTTAAGAAGTTACAGCAATGCCTCGACGTGTCAAAATGTTTCCTAGTAGTACGAAGCTAGGGATATAAAGTTACTTGTGCTTACATTTTCGCAAGGCTAAGCAATAAGAAGCATCCATCTTCTAGCTCCAACCAAAGACACCAAAAACCTTGGAAAGTCATATATTACAAACGAAGTAAAAGTGTTAGAGTGAATGAGGGATATAAGAAATATGAAAAATTTATTAAGAGTAGTCAATTCATGAATCCTAAGGAGATGCTAATTTATGAGAACTCCAATATTATGACAAAGATGTAGCATGTTTTTTTCTTCTTTCAGTTAGCGGTGAAAGACAACTCAATTCCTGACAATCTACACCTCTGTTCAGTAATTCACGCTCTTAGTACTATGCCTTCCTTCCTGATTTTCTTCTTTGTTTTGAATATTTCAGGCTATGGCAGATTTCATGTCGGAAAATAGAGGAAAGCCTATTAAAGAAAAACATTACCAGCAAAAAAATGCCGGTCCTAGCATTGTTGAGGTTGACCTTAAACCAAAATGAGTGTTATCTAATAAGAATATGTTAAGCAAAGTTTAGACCACAGACCTTAACCAAATTTGAGAGGAAGCTGCACATCCTTTTCGTTTCTAGTGATCTCCAAGGCACATATCGTTAACGATATTCATCAAGCTTGTTGGAACTTTCTGATTTGACTCCAAATCCTACTCGGATCCGCCTACGAAGTCTCTGCCTCAGTCTTTCTGTCTTTGTCATCGGCTGCAATGTATCATCTTTGTACTGTGATTTATTTTCGGATTCCAGAGTTCGTTCACACGAACTTTAAAACCGAGAAACACACCTTAACCAATCCCTTGATACTCTCATTGATTACACGCTCATCAAAACCATACTCTATCATGTTGTCTCGCGCTGCACCCTCTCTTATCTATCCAGCTTTCTGCAACATTGGTGAAGAAAAGTATCCATTAAAGACCTTAGACAAGAGCGCAATCATAGAAGAATTTCATAATTCAAAATCCCCTCAGGCTGATTCCTTCTTCTATTTCTTCTCACTGAGAAACCAGCTCAAAGAAAGAGACAAATCCAGGAAGAACAGAACCCTAGCTACGAATTCGGGAGCATTTACAACTCTCCTAAGACCAAATCCACTTTAAATTACTCATACAACTCCAGTGATATGTACGAACTTCTAGGAAACAGTAAAGCTTACCCTTTTTCTTCCTCGGGGCGCCATTTTTGTCACGCAGAGGTCTCTGTGGTTTCTGAAGATATTGGGATCAGATGACGTGGTCTAATGTTTCAATGTTAAAAAAGTATTTTGAATCAGAAAGCATGCAAGGTTCTGCGCCGACAAGTATTCTAAAAAAGTAGTATTAAAGAGGTTCTGCTCAGCTGACAGTATCACCTTCTCCGGATCAACTGGATCCACAACCGCCGCGTCTCCGGTTCTCTCATCGATTATCCTGTGTTTTGCCGAGAGGTGAAAGAATCCCAAAATTGATGATGACTCGGTTCAGAAAAGAAGTAACAAACTGAATGAGGAAATATACGAAACGAATCACTCACAGATAGGAGTAGTTATCTTGTAGACAAGGAACGTGGAAGATCTTCATCGTCTCTATCGATCGTCGTACTCCTCTCTCAAAGGCTTTTCTACTCCAGATCAAGCGGAGTGAAGAATCACAAGGACGGATGTTCTAATCCAATCTGTTTTAGAACACAGACTGATGAGGAAAGGGATGACCTTGAACCATTGCAACGGTTGGCGGAGCGACACAGCTTTGTTGGTGAGGAGAGAGTTTGACTGATTTCGAGATGATAGAAACCGGGTGGTGACTGATTTGGAGATGAGAACGGGTATGTGGGGATCGGTTACGCTGAGCTGAATCGATTAAAGTTGTGGGTGCGAACTGAAACGATTGAAGAAGAAGAAGATACGAAAGTTTAATATTTTTTTTTATGGTCTGTAAAAGTGTAAATAAATTCTATAAAACCTAAAATCAAAGGGTGCTCGCCTTTGTTAAATTAATTTTCAATATAATATTTTTTTTTAAATGGCAGGCAGAAACAACGTCGTTTTGAATGGCACTCAGAGGGTATAAAAAACGATATCGTTTTGGTGTAAGACGAAAAAAAAATAAAAAAAATAAAGCCCAAAACGACGTCGTTTTAGTGTTAGGCGAAAAAAAAAAAATAAAAAATAAAAGTGCCACGTGTCGAAGGTTGAAAAGTGTCCAAACCTTATTAGTTATGTAGATTTATTCAGCCATCAGATTAAAAACGGGGAGAAGGGAACAAACAAAAAATAGTTCAATAGATTTCTTTCATTCGGCCAAATGAATATTGCCCCTTGCTATTCTATTTGAATACATAGAGAAATGGTTTATATGTGGATTGTAGCTCCTCCAAAAATTAGTCTACATCTATGTCTAATGTATAGTTACGTTAGGTCATATTTAAGTTCTTTTAGTTATCAAACGACTCTAAACATAAATTGATAAATATTAGTATTAGGTATGAAAACTCTTGACAATGCTACATACAACTGTCCATGAGTGAATACTGAACTTGGAAGATATAAACCCACCTTCTCCAAGGTTTGACCTTGACTTTTGTTTATTGTCATAGCATAACAAACACAGACAGGAAACTGACGCCTTCTCAACTTGTAAGGGCTATCCGTGTCTGACGTGTTGAAGATGATTCTGGGGATAAGTATTTTCTTCCCAACTTTCACCCCGGTAATGATTTCAGCCTCAATCACCCTTTCTCCCAATCTTGACACCAATAGCCTTGTTCCATTGCACAATCCCTCTTTTTAGTTGATGTTCCTCATCATCAATATGGGTGTGTTTAGCTTTAATCTGAGTATATGGTTTGGCATTCCAGAGCATTTCAGATTATTCAAGTACTCTGGTGTATAGAAATTGTTAACCTCTTCCTCGTCTATGTCATTGAAAACAAGATTTTTGATAGATCCAAACCCTCAAATCTCTGCTCATATCATTGCAGTATAGTTTAAGGTATCAATCCAAATCTCAGGAAGATTGGGTTCTAGAGATTGAACAAGAAAACTTCAAGCCAAGAACAAGATTTGGTTTTTATGAAATCCGAACGTTAAACAGTAAAAATACAAACTTAGAACAGTGAAATAACGGTCCAAATCAAGATTCAAAGAGGAAAGAAATCGACTTTGAGCTAAAAGACTTGAACTTTGAAAAGGAAAAGAAGAAAGGCGATGGCTTTAGGTGATTTCGGATGAAAATCGAGCTAAAGGAAGAAGCTTTAAGACTTAAAGATAAAACCGAGTTTCTAGGCTAAGGAAAACGAAAGCAAGAGCTTATCACTATCGTGAATGAGCTCGAATGCAAGGTCCAAACTCAAGAGCTCACTATCGTGAGTGAGCTTACACACAAGCAAGCTTTAAACGCAGATCCCATCACCAAAAAGCTTTCTAAACAAATCGCTATCGCGAGCTAGAAAAGCGGATCCCTTGTCTTAGATTATCTAGCTCGTCAAACACACTTTTGATGTGTTGAGAGCTTGAGATCTGAGCCAAGATGATCAGAAATGACTCAGCCTTAAGGGCACTAAGCAAGGAGAAACTCTAAAGGTTCTAGCTTTAAGCCCAAACTCTCCTTTAAAGCTCTCAAAACCGAATCACCTAAAACGATCTAAAGACTACTCACTCATCCTGTTTGACAACCCGATTCTCATAAGAGGAAGGTTGTTTCACAAGTAAAATGAGATGGAAACTAAACGCAAATAAACAAGTACGTGATTTGATTAAAGAAAGAGACCAAAGCTTACAAAGTCTTAGATCTCGAACTAGAGTATTTCTTGGTGGCAAAATGAAAGACAAATTACAAGATGCCTAAAAACTTAGGACTTTTTAGTTTATATAGTGGAGACTTCTAAAACCCTTCTTCTTTCCTTCCCCAAGATTTAAGCTCCAGAACGCCGCGTTTCATTAAGGCATGGTCAACTCTCTTCTTGGTCAAGGAAAGCTTGTAAGGCGAAAACAAACGGGTTTCTGATCCTGGTTCGCATCCTGGTTGCTCTTCGTCTTGACGTCTCCGACACTCCTTCTCCCAAATGGCTCCAAAGCTCCATTAAGCACCTGATTCAGACTCAAAATGCAATGTACATGCAATGCAAGTCCTAATGATGATGCAAGTGAATAGATAGAGATATGTGGATGTAAATGTAGAGAATGAGGCCAATAGGATGGAAATATGCATGTAAATGTATGCTAATGTATGTTAATATATGTGTATATCAGTCATCATCGCTGAGGGTGTCTGAGCTGAAATATTCTTTCATTTCTCCAGGACCCTTTGATAGAATGAACTCGTTAACCTCATCCATGGTATCATTTCTTGGGGTTAATATTGCTCGTTCGCGGAGGTAGTTTTTCTCTCTGTAAAACCTCTCAAAATCTACATATGTAGATCGAAAAACATCCTCCAAACTATCGGATGTACTCTGTAATAACAACTCATTCTCAACTTCAACAATATCTGTATCTAAGCTATCCTCCCAATGCCTCGATACCCTCTTAGCAACACCATCACCAACTTCTAAAATCCACTTTGAAAATGAGATTTCATCTGCATTCAGTCTCATGTTCTTCTTTAGCAAGCATACATTTCTTCTGTCCCAAAGATAAGATCTGTTGATTGATGCCATGACAGTGTCTTGCCTACTCCCTCGTGCTATGACTGGTAATATTTGCCTAAAATCACCACCAAGCAACATTGTAATTCCACCAAACGTCTTCTCTGTTGCCAACGGGTCAACACTCCTCTTAATATCTCTCAATGTCCTGTCTAAAGCTTCAAAAGTATGACGGTGTGCCATTGAAGCTTCATCCCATATAATCAAAGACGTGTTCTCTATCAGTTCAGCTAGGATCGTTTTTGGTTTTATGTTACACATAGAATGCTCGTGCAGATCAATTGGGATCTTGAATCGGGAATGAGCTGTCCTTCCTTCTGGTAATAATGTTGCAACTATTCCCGAAGTAGCCACAGGTAGAACAATTTTTCCTTCTGATCTCAGTCACACAATAAGTGTGTTGTACACAAAT